GGATCTATTAGACAATTTTTCTTGAGGGATTTAAGTCTAAAAAAATAAAATATAAAGATTTTCTTTTGTTAGGTAGTGTAGCAATTCCCCCTTGGGTTTTCTTTGTGCCGCGGTTCTTTTCCAAGGATTTTATTTGAACCAGGTGTAGTTAGTTTTTTTTAGGAATAGGAGCCATTGTGTTGTGTTTTGAATTGAAGCAATATCTCTTGACTTTGTTATGCCTTGAGAATAGTGAATACTTTGGTTGTGACGCTTAGGCTCAGTTTTTGACACTTGTATAAATACCTTAAATTGTATCATCTTAACTTTGCTTAACTGCTTTGACTAGAGTGTCTTGATGAACCCGATCCTGAGTGAGTTATGTGCCGTGTGTGTGAGGCTTGGGTGTTATTCTGTGCATTGCAGTTGATGCCTAGAACTTGCTCCGTTTGTTTGCAAAGCGAAATAGTAGTTTTGTTCAGTCTTGGAAGTGATATAGGCGTTTCTTTGTTGATCCAAATATGTATATTTTACCCACCAAATTGTTATGTATCGTAGTTAACCCCTTTGAGCCTGTAATCTTGTTTCTTTGGCAACCACATTACAAGCCTTACCCATTTGTTTGAATTAACCATCTATTTGAACCATTGTAACCTCTCATGAGCACTTGAATTATATATGAACTTTGTAAAAGTTAAATTGTGGGGTGATTGGTTTGGCTTTTGAGTGGAACTAATGAAATAAGGAGAAAGGTGCACTGTTTTGAACAAGTAAGAGCCACTTGAATTGGAAAAAAAATAGTTGTATTGCTGTAAAAAAAAAGTATTCCTTGATAAGTGGTGACTCTTGATGTAATTGTGCTTAAAGAAGTATGGGGTAATATACGTTGATGTGAAGGTGGAGTTTGGTTTGACATAAGTATGGGGTTTGAATGTTAAAGTATATGTATTAAAGTGCTTAGGGAGGTGTAGTCACTCTTATATCTAAATGTATCCTACCCGTACCGTAGCCTACATTACAACCAAATAGAGTCCTAATTGATCCTAGATTGAATGAGCTCGATTAGTGGAGTAGTAAACTACGGGCAAGCTTATGGTGCATCTTTTGTGGCATATGAATGTTATTTCTGAGAGTGAGTGAATTCTTTCTATCTTGGGTTCCTAAGTGTTCTTAAATTTTATTGTGTGGAACTACTCTCTTTTGTTGTTTGAGGGCACTTGATTCATGAAGGAAAGGTAATGTCAGTGACCTCTATGTTAGAGTAAGTAGGTGAGTTGTGAATAATGCGTGGTACTTGTGAGTCAAATCTTGAGGTGAAGATGTTACGCTTTTGTGCTTAGTCTACTTTAAATACTCTTGGTGCGATGAGTTAGGAGAATTGTTTAAAAATGTTGTGTCTATAAAAAAGTGTAGTTTGATTGCTCGAGGACGAGCAATGGTTTAAGTGTGGGGTGTTGATGATAGGCTATAATTACGTATTTTAGTCGCTTATTACACTCAAATTTACTGCACTTTAATTGAGTTTGAGCTTTAATCGCTAGTGTCTTGCACTAGTTGTGTGTTTTATGCCTTGTAGGAGTGATTCCGAGCTATATAGATGTTATGGAATGAATTCAAGTGATTTGGAGCTTTGAAGTCTGAGCAAAAGCCCAAGGAATTAAGCCGGGATCGTATTCGGGGATCAACAGATGATAGAGCAACAAAACGAAGAATCGAGTAGGCATATTGCGCACTGTCTAGTAAAATACACATAACTTTTTTCTCAGAACGCCATTTGGGCTCCACAATATATGGCTGAAAGCTAACTCAAAGGGCTACAACTTTCATGTTTTACGTTTTTCCAAATTCCAAATGCAACAGGGTGAAAAACGCGGTCGAAACCACGACCGCGGACCTGAGGCGGGCTGATGCAGTATACTTGCCATATACCACGGTCGTACCGTGGTTGACCGCGGCCGCGGCTGTCCAGACGTGAAAAAATTATCCTTTTTCGCGTAGGAGAAGGTATAATAGTTTGGGCCCGACCTTACTTGGTATATATACATGGGAAAACGGTATTTTAAAGGAGGAGACCAAGTTTGGACACACTTTTGACATAATTTAGACCTAAAGAGGCTAAGGAGACCGGGGATTCGACCTAAGGAGTCAAGAACACACTGGGAGCGAGCCGGAGAATTCTTCTATGAGTTTTTCACTTCCTTCTTCCTATTTCCATTATTGGTTATGAATTCTAGTATTGTGTTTTTGCATACTATTATGAATAGCTAATTCGTTTTCTAGGGTTTTGATGGAACCTTTTGTAGGATAAATACTTGTTATGTTTTTATATAATTGAGCCGTTGGATTTCTCTACTTGTTCAACTACGTGTTTGTTGTTGTTGATTGAATGACCACCAATTGACTGTGCCTATTTAGTGTGTACTGCTCGAGAGAGAGTACATATTTAGATAGTTGTTGAACAACGTCACTCCTAACGTATGTGAGAAATCAATACATTGGGTTTAAAGGTAGGTTTAGAAATAACAAAGCCTTGACGTGGTCATAGTGAGCGGTTAGATGAAGCCAACTAGCGTAATTCGAGAGAATATATCTAGTAAATTGTGGTAGTTGCTCGAGAGAGAATTACGACAACCACAGTACTCACAATTGGTAGAGAATATTTCGGCGAAATTGTAGGGAACATAGCAAGAAGGATTCCGACAATTGGGGAAATCATAACTCTAGACCTCCTTAATTTAGTCTCCAACCCTTTGCCTCGTTAGTTGATAATTTTACCGCTTTGTAGTATTTGCTAGTTAATTAGTTAGAAATATAAATCTCAATCTTTATAATTTAGAAAATTGTTCAAACTTGTCTTCTTAGTGATATTAAACAGATATAGTTAAGCCTTAGTTCTCTGTGGGATTCGACTCCAGACTTTTAGACCGGATTATATTTGCAGCGACCGCTTATCCTTTTTAGGACTAGAGTTGGGCGTGATCACTAGACCTTGAGGAGTTTGAAGAATCTTAATTCCCAAAATTAAATCGACAACTCCTAAGTCTTTCATATCAAACTTACTAGTAAGCATGTGCTTAGTAGCAGTTATGTTAGCGTTGTCATTACTCATTATCAACATATCATCCACATATAAATAAACAATGACTATTTGATTTGGAATAGTCTTAATATAAACACATTTGTCACACTCATTGATCTTGAAACTATTTGACAATATATTTTGGTCAAATTTCACATGCCATTATTTTGGTGCTCGTTTTAGTCCGTAAAGTGACTTGATAAGTCGACACACCTTCTTCTTTTTTTCCGGGAACTACAAACCCTTCAGGTTGTTCCATATAGATTTCTTCCTCTAAATCTCCATTAAAGAAGGTTGTCTTTACATCCATCTGATGGAGTTGAAGGCCATACACGGCGGCTAACGCTATTAACACCCGGATAGATGTAATCCTTGTCACCGGCGAGTATGTGTCAAAGTAATCATGACCTTCTCATTGTCTAAACCCTTTAACAACTAATCTTGCCTTATATTTGTCAATAATACTTCCTCTTGAAAATCCATTTAGAACCCAAAGGTTTATTTCTCAGAGGAAGATCAACCAATTCCCAAGTATGATACTTAATATGAATTCTATCTCACTATTGACTGCGTCTTTCCAATATGGTGCTTCCGATGAAGAAATTACTTCTTTGAACGTTTGGGGCTCATTTTCCAATAAGAATGCCAGAAAATCTGGTCCAAAGGAAGTAACTGTCCTTTGACGTTTACTACGTCTTGGATTTTCCTCATCAAAAGTACTTTCTTTTGCTTCTTCCCGAGGTCGCTTAGAATTTTCATTAGACGACTCACATTCCATTTTATACGGATAAATATTCTCAAAGAATTCAGCATTATCTTATTCAATTACTGTATTAATAGGAATATCGGGATTTTCTGATTTATGAACCAGAAAACGATATGCCTTACTATTTGTTGCATATCCTACGAAAACGCTACACAATGGTTTTTGGTCCAATATTTACCCTTTTAGGTTTAGAAACTTGCACTTTAGCCAAACACCCCCACACTTTAAAATATTTTAAGTTGGGTTCCTTCCTTTCCAATTTTCATATGGAATGGATTGCGTTTTGCTATGGGGAACTCGATTCAGTATTCAATTAGCTGTAAGAATATCTTCTCCCCCCCCCACCCCCCCCCCCACAAGTTCTGAGGTAAACCAAAACTTACTAACAAGTCATTCATCATCTCCTTTAACGTTCTATTCTTTCTTTCCGCAATTTCATTAGATTGCGGTGAGTAAGGGGCAGTTGTTTGGTGAATAATGCCATTTTCCAAACATATTTTTTCAAAAGAATATTCATATTCGCCGCCCCTATCACTTCTTATCATTTTGATCTTTTTGTTTAGTTGCGTTTCAACTTCATTTTGGTATTGCTTGAATGCATCAATTGCTTCATCTTTACTATTAAGTAAGTAAATATAGCAATATCTAGTACTGTCGTCAATGAAAGTTATGAAATATTTTTTTCCACCGCGAGATGGTATTGACTTCATGTCGTAAATATCTGTGTGAATTAAGTCTAAAGGATTTGAATTCCTTTCAACTGACTTATAAGGATGCTTAACATACTTTGATTCCACACATACTTGAGATTTCGAGTTATTGCATTCAAACTTAGGCAATACTTCCAAAGTAATCATTTTTCGCAAAGTTTTGAAGTTGACGTGGCCTAAACATTCATGCCATAATTATTTGACTCAAACAAGTAAGAAGAAGCTGAAATTTTGTTCATATCAATGGCAATTGCATTGAGTTTGAAAAGGCCCTCAGTAAGGTAACCTTTTCCTACATACATTTCATTCTTACTAACTACAACCTTGTTGGAACAAAAATACACTTAAAGCCATTCTTGACTAGAAGTGATGTCGAGACTAAATGCTTCCGCATTTCAGGAACATGAAGTACATCATTTAGACTCACAATCTTGCCAGAAGTCATCTTCAAAGCTATCTTGCCCGTTCATTCAATTTTTGCAGTAGCGGAAATTGCCATAAAAACTGTATCGTTGGGTTCAACGGGAGCATAAGAAGTAAACAACTCCTTGTTAGCACAAACATGATGAGTTTCCCCCGAATCAATCCACCATTCTCTAGGATTTCCGACTAGGTTGCACTCTGAAAACATGGCACATAAATTGTTTATTTCATCATTCTTCTCAATCATGTTTGCTTGACTTTTCTTCTTCTCCTTCTTCGGTGCACGACATTCAGCAACCTTGTGTCCAACCTTTCCACAGTTGTGGCAATTACCTTTGAACTTCTTTTTGCTTGGGTAATTCTTTGGTCCAGACGACTTCTTTCTCTTTTTGCTCGTTGAAGCTTCCTCAACAATATTTGCACCCATTATTGTTGAATTTCCACGAGACTTCTTCTTAGCAGCCTTGTTGTCCTCTTCAATCCGTAGACGAACAATAAGGTCTTCAAGCGTCATTTCCTTGCGCTTATGTTTCAAGTAATTCTTAAAGTCCTTCCATAGCGGAGGCAGCTTTTCAATAAAAATGCATCTTGAAACGCTTCATTTATGACCATACCTTCAATCATAAATTTATTATTAGTAAAATAATCAATATCTTGAATAAAAATATTTACTCGGTTTATACCTTCAGCAAGGAGGTCATGAACAATAACTTGCAATTCTTGGACTTGCGTTATGACAGATTTACCGTCAACCATTTTGAAATCCAGAAATTTGGCGGCCACAAACTTCTTTAGTCCAGCATCTTCAGTCTTGTACTTCTTTTCAAGAGCATTCCACAATTATCTTGATGTTTTCATGACGCTATAAACATTGTACAAGTCGTCTTCCAAGCAACTTAAATATAATTTTTGCATAAGAAGTCAGAATGCTTCCATGCCTCAGTGACCACAAATCGCTCATTTTCAGGAGTTTCTTCTCCAAGAACTGGAACGTCTTCGCTGATAAAATGCTGTAAACTGAGTGTGGTCAGGTAGAAGAACATTTTCTGTTGCCAACACTTAAAGTGCACACCGAAAAAATTTTCGGGTTTTTCTGCCTGTGCCATCGCCGGTGCAGGAGTTGTGCGACTTGAAGACGAAGTTGCCATTGCAACAGCAGTCCCAACAGAACCATTCCGTTGTTCCGCACTCGTTGTCATTTTTCTGTAAAAGAAATTGACAAACAGAATTAGTATCTTGGTGAAGTTTTTATATCTTCAAACCGAATACAAACAACCGAGTTTTTATATTTCGGATTGAGTATAAAGTCACAAAGATTTTAATCTCAAACTGGAGTAGAAAATCCGAAGATTTTAATCTCCAAAACGGGAGTAGAAAATCAATATGATTTTAGTCTCCCAAAGTAGAAAGTAAGATGAATACATAAATAAATAATAAATTCCTTAAGCTTGTTATCACTATTCAAAACCAGTAAATCAACAAACGCTAGTTTAAGAAAAACCAAAGCAGAAAAATTCCGAGCCCACAAGTTTCTTGTGTTTCCTTAAGGAATTTAATCCCCTCACAATGCCCAAGGTTGCGGATTAATTTCTCCCAGGATAGAACAGAATAACTATTCTGTGATAGCGGCATTTCAAATCACAGAATTTCGGCGAACTCAAATGGCGGAGCAAATCACTCAAAATGCTTACGTTTTATTTTTGAAAAACCAATGCAGAATGCAGAAGATTGAGGGGAGAGATTTCAGATTTTTCGGTGGAGGAAAATGAGGCTAAGCCTCTCTATTTATAGCCAACAAAGTTGAGTCCCAACAGGTGCAAAGGTGCCTGTTCGTTGATAAGGTGTCTATTCAGCTATTGAATGGAACGTTTTGGTGTCTATTCAGCTGTTGGTCGCGAAAATGATTCCGCGATCTTCCAACGCGCGAAAATGGTTCCGCGATCTTCCAACACGAAAATATTTAGAAAAGAAAATGTTAAATGATGGAAAAGGAAAATAAATTTGGTCCAAAAAATTATCAATCAATTGACCAAAGCCGAAGCCGTGCGAGCGACGACGACGGCGCAAGGCACCACTTCTTCTTAACTCTTTAAGAGCTAGAAGATGAGCTTCTCTATATATGCACAAAGTTTTTCTTTCCTTCTTCCAATGAGGGACAAAGTGCATTAGTAAAGTGAACTAATTCAAAACTATATTTTTCACCATTTTCCATTTACACCTCTTTTGTTATTAATAACAAAACCCAACAGAAACTCCGTCAGGAAGGAGGGTAAATCGGAATTGCCTTCACTTTAGGGGAAATTTAATTAAAATGAAGGCATGCCTGATTTTATTTGAAAAGAAGAAAAGAGGGAAAAAGGTGGCATCCTTCTATATTTCATAATTCCTTGATACCTTTCTTGCACTAGGATAATTGCGGCCCTTAACCAATGGAGTAAATACTTGTTAATAGTACATCATATATAGAGCGCCCAAGCGCTTTTTGGCCAGTTTAATTCTGTTATCCATCGGTTTAATACACTGTGCTCATTTTATAGAGGGAAAAACCAAAATATTGTCTTGTTCGTCGCCTCGATACATTTCCTTCTCTCTCCAGTACCGTCCCACACAAAAAGAAAAAGCACAGAGCCCCGGTCCGACCTGTAGATCCACTAACAAAACCGAGGATTTGAGCCTGAGCTGACGAACCGAAGTCACTTTCGGAACCATACTTCCTACAACTAACATGTGTCCAGTCCAGCAAGAACGCACAACACAAACGAACCTGAGCTGCTATTAAGTTAGTTGTTATCCACTATATTTCCTCCTATTTTCGTTTGTTAATGAATGAATCAAGGTTCAAGAAAATAAATAGGAATTGAATTAAATTTTGAAAGACAAGATATTTTCATTGGGAAATAACGGTAATAAATGAATAGGTCATGGGTTGGTCCGTGGTTGAAGGGAAAAGGATAACAGTAGATTTAGATCCAGATACATAATTTAATTTTTATTTTCAGCTCTACATCTTTTTTTCAGAGACAGCAGTCTGAAGCATAAGTTTATCTATATGAAATGATAATATTTTGCCTGTGTTTGGTTCATTTACTTTGCACCAAAATAGCCTCTATCATACATTTATTCCAATTCTCCCAAATTAACTTTTCCTTTCTACATAAATCCAACTACCTCTTATAGTCACATTTTAATAGCTCTGAATTTTTTTCTTCTCTTTTTATTTTTTTAAACTTTCACGATTTAAAAAGAAAGAGAGAGGGAAAAGAAAATAACCTTATCTCGAGTTCATTTCATTTGGGCGTTTGAAGGTTCATTGCATGAAATCTCTATTAAACTACTGTTTGAGCAACCTTCTAAAATCAGTTTATTTTGAAAACTATTTTTTTAGCCAATTAATTGGAAAATCACTTTTGAGCAACAATTAGTATTTAACCAAGCTTTTAAAACGTGCTTCTAAGTGTATTTTCTCAAAAGCATTTTTCAAAAAAAGAAGAAGGTATTTTGCGGATGAAACTACTTTTTCTGCTTCTCAGAAAACTGCTGCTTCTTCTTCTTCTTCTTCTTCTCAAAAGCATTTTTTTTTCCTTCTAAAAACTTGACCATATACCTTAAATTTGGAGGAAAAAAAACTTTTGAGGAAAAAAAAAAAACTTTTGACCAAAAAGAAGTTTGACCAAACATGCTAATAGTCTTCGTCCAAAGGGTTTTATGAATACCTATCTTTTATCTATTAGACAAGTTTTAGAGTGAGCGGACGAAGCTCTCAATTTAATAATTCGAACGATGAAATATACCAATCTTTATCTAATTAGAGTATAGTTGAAAGAATATTTTTAAAATTGATAATTCCCTTAAAAATCATATAACTCGATCCATCCTTTTACCGAATACTTCATATTTATCTTATATATCATGTTCGTATGGTGAATCGAACCAATATTCAAGAAATTGTTAGTTGTTCATATTCTTTTTGACTTGAACATATAGTGGATAAAAATGTCACAAGAAACTCGTACTTAAGTGCACGAAATATTACAATTGATTTCCCTTTTTTCCAGCCATATAAAATTAGTAAAAAGCTTAAACTTAATACTTTAAGGAATCGTCTACGTACCTCGTTTTATTCTTAAAATTCTTATAATAACGTGCAAAAGGCACTAACACTATAAGTTAATCTTTGACCTAATGGTCATAATGAAACCTTACCGACTCTTTCTTTCTTTTCGTTTTTTGCTTTCCTTTGGTTCTTTGAAAGGGAGATAATGATGTAAATATTTTGGTGAATTTTTTAATCTAAATATTGTACGCCACAAAATTGCAAATTGTGACAGTGCCAATTTATATAAAATTACCCCCATCAATTAAGGTCATTTTCTACTCCACCAATTGACAGTTGGTATTATTACAATTTTTGTCTTCTTATCCGTGTTGCTATTGTCTTGCCATCCCTTTCTCCCCTAAAACCTTCAAACTGAAAAAACTTATCCATTTTAAAATTTACATTAAATCAATAAAATATAATATTTATTTTTCATATACACCTTTTTTACTTAATTATAATATATATTTTATCACTTAATTATATTCCATTTGTCCCATTTTAACCGTAGCTCTAGCTCTTTTCAAGTCCATTTAGAAAAATATTTACTCCCTCCGGTCCAAAATAAGTAATTTTTTGGTCTTTTTCTTGTGGTCCAAAATAAGTGATTTTTTCAGATTTCAAGAATGAATTACATATTTTTTGCCTACATTGTCCTTGGAGTAAATAGTGTTGGAATATGTGTTAGGAGTGTTTATGTGAGATAGTAAAGGTTAATATGGTCAATTCCATTGCTAATTAATGCTAAAAGGTGGATTTCTTAATCTGTGTGAAAACATTCAAAAAATCACTTATTATGGACCGGAGGGAGTAATAAATAAAAGGTATAATTTGCTAAGTTACCCCTACTAAATGCTTTTTTAGAATTGAGTAGTATTAAAAGAACTAGTGCTCTCTCCGTCCAAATTTATTTGTCCATTATTGACTTGGCACTCCCTTAAAAAACAATAAATAAAATGACAATATATCAACCCTAATTATTATTACTGCAAAACTAATTTTGACTATTATAAATCCAAACTGTTAGGAAATCATAAGGGTAAAATAGGTTTTAAATTGGTAAACTAATCATTGGTTTTTCAAATTGGACAAGTAAAAAGTAGACATTTATTTTTAGTGTAGTGGATAAGTAAAGTTGGACAGAAGGAGTACTTCTTTAATATTAAGGGTATAGTTGAAAATAATTAACAAATTTAATCTTGAATTTCTAAAGTGATATTTTCTGAGCTGAAGCAACAGTTAAAATGGGACTAAGAAAATAATAAATTAGTATGATCTGATGCAAACAGTGGACGCTAATAAATTTTTTTTTCTGTTCCGAAAACAAACCTACCGTTCACTATAGGCTGTATCCCATCTGTCTTTGAAGGCTCCAATGTATGTATTCTATGCACCAATTACTATACAAACACAGCCTACCATAATACACATACTTGAGTGTAAAACAACACACAAAAACATGCTAATTATATACCCCCGCGTGCAAGCATGCACTCATATTTTATGTGTGTATATCCACACAAAAACTCTCCACTAAATACAGCAGTAATTATAATTTGGCAATCTCTATACTTTTGCAGTTTCAAAAGAGTGGGCTGTAAGTAATCAGACTGAGAATACAGAGATGAGAAAGAAAAACAAAACTACATAGGCCAACCTAGGGATTGAGGATGTTTTTTTCAACACTATCTTTGTTTAACAGGCATGGTTTAAGTTACTCTCTGTTCTTGCAATCCTGGCACCAACAGAATTAACTAAAATTTGTTTTTTTTCCCTTCTTCTTCTTCTTCCCATTAGTATGTTATATAGCCCATAACAACTTAAGAAATTATGTTAAACATGTTCACTAGGATTAAATAATTCAGCTATTGCAAATGCCAGTATTTTACCATGCACAAAAGTATTGGTTCATTCTTATCTCACATATGTAGCACGGTTTCTTTGGGGTCAACGGAGCTCATTTTTTTCCGCTCGAATAATGTATACATATATGGAAAAAAGCTTAACACGTATACAACAATAACCCTCATTCTGAACCAATAACTCTAGATTCTTGATTCCTCTATAGGAATGATCAACTGGACTCATTTCTTTTCCCTCGAA